CTGGGAAAGTACTGCACCTATTGCAACGTTTGATGCGTCGGTAGTCAACTCAAATTTTTTTGAATAATCGGGTTGCGTCAATTCCATTTCTGGCGCTAAGTTTCTTTTTAGTTTGTTAAAAGCGGATATGCCTGCTTCATCAATTTCGATTAATACTTTTTTTGACATATTTTTTGAAACCCTGCCGTTTTCTGCCGACAAGTATTTTGTCAAAGGCTTTGCAATCGCTGCGTAATCCTTAACGAATTTGCGATAATAACCTGTGATGCCCAAAAATCCTCTTAATCCCCGTAAACTTTTTCGTAACGGATAATTAAGCATTAATTTTATTTTATTCGGATCTGTTTTGATCGTATTTTGGGCTATGATGTAACCCAAAAATTATATTTTATTATATTTTCATATTAGCTTTTCTCAGTATTTCAATTATTAATTCCAAGTCTTCTATGTGTTGTTCTAAACTTTCTGAAAAAATAATTATATCATCCATATAAACATGACATATTTTCCCAATTTGATCGCGTAATATATCGTCCATTGCTCTTTGAAAAATTCTGGGAGCATTTTTAAGACCGAGAGGCATACGCAAGAACTCATATTTTCCATTATTGACAGAAAAAGCTGTCTTTTCTATGTCGCTTTTCGACATTAAGATCTGGTGAAAGCCGGACTCTAAGTCAATACTTGAGAAGTACTTTGCTTTCCCTAAATTTGACAAAATTATATTCGTATCCGGTATAGGATAACGATCGGGAATGGTTTTCTCGTTTATTTTTTTATAATCGATGACCAGTCTAGATTTTGGTGAGCCATCGTCATTTGTACCCTTTTTTGGTACCACCCAAATTGGTGAATTATAAGGACTTCTACTTGCCTTATAATTTTTTCATTCAACATTCTGTTGATTTCTTTATTTACGAAAGAATTTACAGAGAGAGGATATGGATACTGCTTGCTCCATATAGGCTCCTTGCCCTCTGTCTTTATCTCTGCTCTTACATCAGTTCTGAATGGAAAACTTGTATCCACTTCAGGATGTGTTTCACTGATTTTATACCTTATGTATTCTTCATATTCAATTCAAATTTGACAATTCATCATTTTCATTTTCACATTTATGATTCGTTATTTCTGAGCCTCTTTCACTCAGTATTGAACAATTATCGATATTGCCGTTAAATTCATCGGCTGGTGCTAAAGGATCTTCATGTCCTAAAGCAAAATATTTTTCTAACAATATATTGCCAGTAAAATCTTCAGCTGGCTTTATGGAATCTTTTTGCTCCTCA